TATGTTTTAGGGTTTGAGCATCATGTGTGTGCATTTCAAAAGCACCAACTCTAGAAATTTCCTGCAGTTTCAAATATATTTTTCCCCTCTTTCTTTCACTTATAGCTAAGCCTGTGCTTGTGTTTGGTTACAATGGAGTCCTAAATGGCAGAAATACTTTCTTGATTTAGATAAACTTCAATTCAACTAGGAGTCTTAGAATTTGGAATTAAATCAATCACTATCCACCCTAAGTTTCTGCTAATTAGGACTCTATCATGTTTGAGGTCTTTTAAAATGTGATTAAGGCTTATAAAAAAAGAGATAAGCTAAAAATTTGTAACTGCTTCATCTTGATTCCTATATATCCAAATGGATTTTTTTTCTTGAGGCCTTTATCCATGAAATAATTTGAACTTCGATTAGAGCTCACTATTAGAATACTAATGCTCACAATTACAACAGTTGAATTTTTAATCTCTTGATATCAAATATTCGATGGAAACTAGAAATCTTAACTAAATAACGACCAATGTAACTACTAACTCTAATACAATTTGATGATAAAACATAGCTTAATCCTTTAGTGTGATTTGTCACAAAATAAATTGAATAAGTAAAACATAATATGCATAGGCTAAACTTAGAGAGCATACTTAATTACATGACCAACTTAAAGCACATGAGTTGGAGAAAACTTACCAACATGAATTTTTTCCTTACAAGAATTTGGAAAAAACTATCGCTTTCAAAATATGAAAATTCTCGATTGCTACAACCATCGGCACCATCCAAAACGTTGATGTCACCTCACCACTACCATCACAACCACCACACCATGTAGTTCTGTACATAGCACCATCACTATACAGATTGTACCCAAAAGTTATTACCATCTCACCGTTGCCACCACCACACAGATATGTAAATCTATCTTACCACCATCGTAACACAAATTTGTAAACAACAACCACCGCTACACAACCACTAATGCACCAAAACATCTATCACACTACCATCCCATGCACCACTACCATGAAGATCTGTATACCAACCCACCACTAAAAATCCACCTCACCACCATCCCCTACTATTTAAACAATAGATTTAACAAATGGGACAATTTTCATATTATAAAGGCTTGGTCAATGACGGAGAGTAGTCGAAAGTAGTAGTTTAAGAAGGAGGTGAAGGATAAAGACACCATCTCTTTGGGTCAAAGGCCAAACTACCATCACAGAGGAGCTTAAATCTTCAATTAGGGATGAGGTAGAAGTAATGGCAACAACAAGTGATGATAGAGATGATTAGGCAGCATCGATTGTTATAAAAAGATAGAGAGTACATAGAAGACAACGATCGGGAGAAGACAATGGTCAAGAAAGAAATGAAGTTTGGATCTACGTGTAAATAGATCCATCTGCATGTGGCATTGACTTTTTAATTACAGTGTCTAGAAATGTAAACTAGCCGAGCCAAAGATCGTGGCTCAGTCAAGGCTCAGGTAAAAAATGATTCGAGCTTTTTTTGCTCGAGAGGAGCCTGGCTCATTCTTTTTATAGTCGTGAAATTCAAATTTTTTTTAACACTATAATTATATGCAATCTTGAAATCCAATTATTTGTTCTACTATTAGACACATCAAATTACTCGTTTGAATTTTTTAAATTTCGATCTATATTAAGTCCCTTCTTGGTATAAATTAAAATAAATTTTTAGTAAATTTAATAAAATCTGATAAAATGTATAGTGTATGAAAAATTGTAAATTATATGCTTAAAATTATTTGTTGATTTTCACTAAATTTTTTTTTATTAAAAATCTAATTTTTATTATTAACACAATATATGATATGATGAAAAAAAGGTAAATGTCTGCCTCTACAGTTAGATAGTTACCTAATGCAGGCATAATTGTCAACATTTTTGCAGGCAGCTTTCATGATTTCAAAACACAGGACAAAATGGCTCGTGTGGCTCATGGGCCGACTCAAGGCTCAGGCTCGAGCCGACGCCCAAAAATAAGGCTCGAGCTCTTTTCAGACCGTTCAATCCAATGAGTGAATTGACATCTCTAGTGGTGTCAAAGAAGAAAGTGATGGTGAGGTGTGGTGTGGTATGGTATGGTGTTGGAGAAGAAGATGACGGTGGTAGTGTGGAATGTGGTGTCGGTTATGGAAGTTGCCGTTTTGTGACTATTTTGGGATAGAAAATCACTTAGGGTTAGGGTAAGTTGTGGGGTGGGGTGAGGTGCCTGGGTGAGATACATCTAATAAAATAATTTAATAATTTGATTATTAAAATAGAAAATTGAAAACACGTTTGGATGTTATATTCTCGTAAACATAAGTCGGCCCATTAGTTGATTAATCTACTTAATTAATCTTGGCCCATTAATAAACACTCAAATTAATAATTCTATAAACATCACACACTTGTCAATTAATTAATTCCCAATTTTAATCCTACAGTTCTCACTTTTTGTGCACGATCCATTAGATTCCCAATCATGATGTCGAACGCTGTGAATTATTATCTTGATCTAATCAAGGTTAGATAAATTAAAAACATCTTTTTAACTTATCATTAATTCACATAGATGAACTAATTCACATTTGTTATCACCAAATGATATCTAACAATAAGTCATGACACTAAAAATGTCACGTGGTGTGACAAAATCAAATTTGTTCGGATATATTGTAAGATTTTAATTCATTTGTCAATATAACTTGATGGATTATGAGATATGAAGACGTGTTAATCTCAATTTAGTTTGATCAAATCCATCACAAGCTTAAGTCAATTATCATCGAAACTCTTTTCGACTTATGTACACATCTTACCGAAGGATTTCGATATCAACTTAAGTGGATTTATAGATTATGACTATCTAGAAGTGATAAGTCATCTATTGATAATTTACAACCTTCATATAATTCTTTCACTACCCAAAAAATGCCGTATTACTGGATCTTGGTAGAACAACATTCAACATTACCAAAGTATGATGTTCCTCATATAAGTTATTATCATGACATTAAGTTAAATGATCAATTTCACTACTGAACGTTGGATATTAACTACTGACTTGAGTAGTTATCCATGTAGAATCTATGTATCGTTTCTTCAACCATTTGTTCTCTTAGCAAAATATCCACGCGTCTATTTAAATGTCACTATATCTTAACTTATAAGATCAGCAACTAACTTCATAAGTGAAAAATGTGATATGTGCTAGTCTATTTGCAACAATGATATTTGTATTGCATTATTACTTATGACCATGGTTAATTTAAAACTCGATCATATATAACATGTATCTCACAATCACAATTCCTTATGACTAACAAGTTATTGAGATTTGAATCTACGTAATCAGTTAATTTAATTTATCATAATAATAATTTAATTCAAATAATAAATATGTCATAAATAAAAATGCATTAAAGTATTTATGTCCTAAAATGCGATTCGACCCAAGGCATAGGCCTTTTATCTTTGATTTTGGGTTCACAATAAAATTGAGATATTTGATTTATGCAAACCCAAGTTTCTGGCAATAAATGGGATCATTAGAATCGAGTTTGAGTTTGTACACAATTGACAATGAAACCTTACATTCCCCAAATAGTCATTGAATTTCCTTTGAAGAGGTTCCCTAAATTTATAATTCATCTTAAATGCTTTTGAAGCTTGACGATTATGTCAATAGACAACAAGATGAAATGAAGAAGATTAATGCATTTAAATGCAAGCTCCCTATTTGCATGCTCGTCATTATCCATGGTGAGCCAATTTTCTAATTTTAATATCTATGATTTCATTGCGAGATAATTTAATGAAAGGTCATTGAATATTACTATATGTTACTACTTGTTCATCGATCTTTGAAAGTTATTCGTTGCTCACTCAACTTTATTATATATTACTACTTACTTATCGAAATTTAAAAGGTTATTCGTTGCTCATCTAAATTTGAATAAAATTAATCATTGCTTATTAAAATTTTCAATGAGTAACACATGATATGGGTGATTAATAGGTAACTTTGATCAAATTTAAATAAGCAATAAGTATTCTTTTAAATTTCGATGAGTAAGTAGTAACCTATAACAAAGTATAGTGATTTGATTTTTGAGAAATTTGAGTTGCAGGATTTTTATTGCTAGGACGAGTTTTGATGGGTTTGCAAATTTATCTATAGGAGGGTTAACTTTGCCATTTCTCAGAGATTGAGTACAAAAATATGATGAAAAATTAGTTTGGAATAATATTTCTACTTTCAACAAAATTGCGATGTTAAAAAAAACGTACATTTCACCTTTAAAATCATAGTTCAGAATTCAAACGTTTGGAACCGTTTACACCAAAATTTGGAAGTTTGGTTAAAAAATACAAGATGGTCAAATATTTGGAATTATTTGGGCCAATTTTCTCTCCAAATCTTTAAAATGCAGAATTTGCTTTATTAAAGCCACTAAAAATGGAAAAAAAAAAGAAAAAGAAAAAGAAAAAACGATTGTCAATTAAAAAAAAAAATAAAAAGGAAAAATTGCAGTAGCGATCTCTAACCTTTTCATTTTTTTACAGACTTTACTCTAACCTTCATTTTGCGCCAACGAAAGTCCCTAACCTTTCATAGATATGCACCTGAGGTCAATTTGGATGGAAACATTTCAAAACACGATTAGTTCACTGGAAAAATTCCTTGAACCATCTACTATCGCGACAATATTATTAGAAGCGGACGGTGTTTTAGACGATTTTATTGGATGTTAATTCCTTAATTTTTCATTCAAGTGACGGTATTTTGGACGATTTTCGTTTAGATGGATCTCAAGTGCATATTTATGAAAGGTTAGGGATCTTCGCTGGTACAAAATAAAGATTAGGGATCTTCGCTAGTACAAAATAAAGATTAGAGTAAAGTCTGTTGAAAATGAAAAGGTTAGGGACCGCTACTGCAATTATCCTAATATAAAATGATGAGGAACGGCTCTTCTCCTTCCTCTTGGTGGATTTTCTTCACCCTGCAGAGACCCTTTGACTCCCCGTCACAAATTCACGAATCTTATACTACAACATAAATAAAAGACACCCTTCATTCACTTAAATTAATCAGTGCCTTTTTTTCAAAAGAGAGAAGTGTCAATTTAAATACAGAAAAGCCATGGATGCTGATTCCTGGGCTGCTCGTCTTTCTTCTGCCTCTAGGCGCTGTCAATCCGTCCTTCAATCTCGATCTGGTATACAGAACCCCCAGTTTTTTTGTTTTCGAACGTTTAGTTTTCATCTGAGGTTTCTTCCATTTGACCAATAAATGTTTATTTACCTGAAAGATTGCATTTTTACGGATCTTTTGGCCAGGTATTGTGGAATCAAATTGAAGATTTGAATTTTTTGAGGGTTATGTTAAATTAACAAGAACTTCTACTATAGACATGGAATTTTTTGTGGGTTTATTGATACCATAATTAAATATAAGCAGTCTCTAATATTGAATCTTTATGAGGTCTTTCGAAGATCAAATTTTTAAGTAGGGTTTGTTAGGTCCACAAAATGATTGAACATATCCATCAAAGATTGGCTAATTATCTGGATTTGTGAACTTTAATAAATGTGTATGTTAAATTAAAGATTGGGTTCTAATGGGTTCTTTGTGCGGGATGCTCTGGCAGGGATAAAGTGGGAGGGTCTCAATGCAGAAATGTTGATGGGATTCGAGGAAATGGACATGGATGGTGATGTAAGGGAGGAGTATCCATGCCCGTTTTGTTCGGAATATTTTGATATTGTGGGACTCTGTTGCCATATAGATGACGAGCATCCTGCTGAAGCAAAGAATGGGGTACAATTCCTTTGCTTTTGATTCTTTTTATGATTGCCGGACATTTTGTATGGATCAAAGGGTTTGGAACATGATAAATTTTAATGCCATGTGATTCAAATTTGAGAAGCAAGTTTGAGAAATACCAATAGTTTATATTTTACGTGTTTTACATGTTTCGAGAAGGTTGAAAATGATTTGTTTAAAAATTGTTACGTGATAAAGAGTGTCGAATTAAGATTTTTACTTATGGTAAGATGTAGGATGTTTCCCTCCCTCTCCTCTGCTTGGAGGGAGGTTAGGATTTAGGAATATGTCAATTCATATGGTTAGTTTTTAGGTTTGATTTCAATGGTTGATGAAAATTATGGATGCATGAAGAATAGGGTCACGAATGGATTGGATTATATTGCTTTTATAGGTTTAACATTTCCCGAATGGGAAAAGAACGTTAAGATGCATACTTCATTGAAGTGAAGCAAAAATTATATGGAAATAAGAAACCACTTTGTGGGCACAGTATATTCACTAGAATTTTGACTTTTCATCGATTTCCATTTTATATTTTAGCTGCTATAAAGTTGCCCATAAGTTTAGCAAAGTCAATACTAAAGTAATTGCAGAATAAAATATTTGTATTTACTTCGGCAACTATCCAAATCCAGCAGCCAAAGAACATCATCAAGTAAAAGGTTGGGTAGGGGACTAGAAGAAATTAACCATCCAAATCAAGCAGCCTAAACCGTCAGCATCAGATGGCAAAGAAAAGTCAATATCAGTTGACTAACTAAAATAAAAAAAGACTAAGGATATGCCTTTTTATTTCCTTAATATCATGTGCTGTTATTCCATTGGTGCCACTGTGAGGGTTGGTGTTCTAGGTAATCTGACATGGAACATCTTTGCTTCTGTTAAGAACAGGATGTTAGTATATTTTCATTTGCACAAATCATAACGAGTAAACAAATTAGTCTGTGTCATTTCAAAGTGTTGTTGCTAACAGAGGTCTTCTCCTTGACTCTTGCAGGTGTGTCCAATTTGTGCAATGAGGGTTGGTGTTGATATGGTTGCACATATTACATTGCAACATGGGAATACTTTCAAGATATCCTTTCTTTCAGTCACACTTCTTCCTATGTTGTGCATTTTCTTGAATTCCTTCTTGCTGAAACATGGCTATTCTGTGAGCATATTAACAAGTCCTGGTTGGCATATTACATTGCAACGCTAGAATACCTTTAAGATATACGTTTCTTGCAGGAGGAAGGGGGGGGGGGGGGGGGGATATGTTGTTTAGTTCAAACTTACTGAGTTTTCAATATTGTTAAATTTTTTTGAAATGTGCCATGTATCATTTGAATTTTGTGACATACATTTTGAGGCTGTTGGCACATTAACTCAAACAAGTGCATGACTGACACAACAATTTTAAGTTCGCTGATTTGATGGGTTTCTGTTCAAATAGTATTCTCCTACAGATTTATGTTCGGACATTGTTTTGTATAATTTCTTTTTCAGTTCTCATCAATATGTTGGTTTGATGCCCATTTACCGTTAAACACCTTATGTTCTTAATCAATGTAAGAATACTAGCGCTGACAGATTATGTAGGTACATTCAAACTAATGTAATAAATAAATAAGTAAAGGCAACTATATTTTACATGGAAAAGCCAAAGAGAGAAACTGCTGACGTTCTGACATTCAATTTAGTAAGCATGCACAAATCATTATCAATTGTTTGGAATTACAAACCACTAGACCTCAGTCTAAATCTAAATCAAACTGAAATGAGATTACTGGATAACAAACTCCATGTTTTATGTCGATATATTTCTATTTGAATCAGGTACTCCTAACTTGATCTTCACACCTATCCTTCATTTTGAACAGATCCTCTATTCTTGAACTCAAATAAAAACTTCTATCTATCTTATTATCCACCACTTCTCTGTGCTGGGCTTGTATGTTTCAGGCTCTGATGCTTGCCAACTTGAAGTATGCGCCCCAGTAGTTAGCAAATCCTCAGTAAGTGAGCAATCCTCATTAACTGAACAAGATTAAATTCACACAGAACTGTGGTTTAGTTAGCACACATTTATTCTGCATTCCCACTACAACATTACCTAGAATGCACAAGTGGCACATTTTTAAAGAGAAGAAATTGTAGAAATAGTTTAAAACACATAAGTTTTTCTTTCCTTATCTTTCACTCTGCACACAACCCTGTTTTAGCCTCTTTTCTTGTGTCCTTTATAAATTCTCAAAGGCCTTAACCAGGTTGCCTAGAACTAGGAAAAGAATTTAAGAAGTAAGAATCTGGTCCATGAAAATGAAACAAAATAAGATCGTTGGGACATTCTTTAGGACGTCATTTCCATACGATGTCCTCAATGATATTCCTTCAATATTGTCCTTTTAAAAATATATTTGCTTCGTTGAAGACAAAAACGTGGATATGAAATATTTGAAAAGGCTTATTTGGATACAAAGGTGTTTTAACTCTGGGAGGTGAGGCATAAGCTTTGAAACAAATCGATAAGATTGTTCATAAAATATAAACATACAAAAATATGCTCATAATAAATCATAAACCATCTTACAAAAATCCATAGTCAAATAATGAATAAAATTTAAAGTCAATCTTGCAAACAAATATAAAATAAGTTCTCAAATTAATAATCACGTAACTAAAATGTAATTTACTACTAGAGGTAGAAATAACGCCAATCATGATACTAATAAGATATATAAGGCAGTCATCAACATATTGGATTCCCCTATCATCCTTCTCATCACTTCCTTTTTCCTCTTTCTTTGTGATCATTCTCCACTTTATATTTTAGAAGACAGAACTGTAATTATATTCTTCAATTAGTTCAAAAAGATGTATTCTCTTTCCATTTCATGTATGGGCAAGAAAAAAAATAAAAAATAAAACTTGAAAGATTCTAGGTTTTGAAAAAATGAAAGCCCAAAATATGAGCTAAGGTTAGTAATAAAGTGCCTAGAAAAGGCAAGACAATGGATGAACACCTTAGTCAACTTCTAGTGTAGCTTTGAGGCATAAACCTCATGAAACTGAAGCGCAAGCCTCTCATATGGCATTTTACAGCGTATGCTCTGATGTGTTTAATGAAAGCCTCACTTGAGGTCGATATATGAGCGGTTTATAGCAAGGAGGGTCACACGTGACAAATTTCGTATATTTAGACTTATGAACATATGTACATTGCATGTCCAAATAGTGACAAACATAATTGATGCAAAAGTGTGTTAATTTGACAACGAACAAGAAGATAAGAATTGAGTGCAAAGAAGTATTATGATCAAGGGGTTTGAATAGTACATTAAACAAGCTCTCTATTTATAGAGTGACTTATTTAGAATTGAAGAACTTCTTATAAACTACAAGTTTATCAAAATATTGAAGCTAATTTTATCTAATCTAAACATTCATAATTTAAATTAAACTCTATTTTAAATCTTATTTAACTTGTACACTTGCATTTGATTAGTTAATTGGTTTCGTAGTTCCATAATTTTATCAATCAACATATTCACTACCTTTGTCATCTGGCATTCAAGAAAGTCAACTGATTGCATTTTCCTTTACAGTCAATTTAATAATTCAAAATTGTTCCTGTGTTTAAAGATGAAGAATTTCTTAGTCCTTCATTTTGAGCCCATATCCGAAACATATACTTCATGAGTAATGGTAACTAGGACGATTTTGGAAGGGAGTGAATGTAAGAAATAGATTTATGGAGTTGAACTATTGTTTTTTCCTGTGTATAAATGTGAAGGGTAGAGAAGAGGGAGAGAAAATAATATGTGTTGCATAAAGTTGGCCTCAACTAGATTGATGGTCGAGTAGACCATACACTGGGCCCGGTGAAAAATAAAAAACAACACTTTGACTCGAAGTCTATTTTTAAATGAGGGTCAAGTGGACGTTTTGTGAAACGTTAAGTGAGAAGAAGGCTATGACGAAAAACTCAAAAAAAGGCTGCCGTTTTCGTCTTGGCCTTCAGAAAAAAGGTCTTTTAAAAATATTTCCTCCCTTTGTATTGAAGCTTCAGACTAAGCACTGTTTTCAAACAATAGATTTGTAATTTAGAGGCTTTGAATACTTCTTTTCTTTTTGTCGCATGTATTTTTTTCTATTCATTTTTACTCCAAAAGATATTTGGACTGGACTTTTTGAAAACTAAAGTATGTTAACCATGTGAAGATCAACTTGTTTTGCTCCCAAATATTTTTGTTTGATATTTATTGGAAAAAGTGTTGCTACATGTGCATCTCACTGAGGAATCGGTGTGAGAACTCCATTTGCCTTGAGATCCTTGACCAGATATTACATGCAGCGCAAGAGAAAATCACTTAAAGCTGGTTCACATTCAACACTATCCTTGTTGAGGAGGGAACTAAGAGAAGGAAATTTGCAGTCTCTTTTTGGAGGGTCTTCCCGTAAAGTATCTTCAGGCAATGCAGCTCCAGACACATTGTTGTCATCATTTTTCTTGCCAGTGGGTGATGATTTCGTAAGTGTTCAATCACACTCTTCGTCAGAGCCAAATCCAGCGAAGAATAGCTCTGCCAGAAATGTTTTAGAAAGGTAATAAATTGCTTTCTTATTTCACTTTTGTTGTTCTGTTTGGCTACTATTTCTATATCTGAGGATTTGGTTACTTGTGCCAGGATCTTACTGCAAAGTTAGGCATAAATAGAAGTGGGGAGTGATAAGAATCAATTAGAAATGTCAAGATTCTTCCTTTTTCTTGATGTTCAAATTTCATCTGTCTACCAAATTTCAAGTGTTTTTCTTTACAATGTTTTTCGAGGAAAAAAGTTTAGAAATGGTAAAATTGATTACCAGCTAATACGTTTTTAAGTTTTTGCATATACTTGGTGATTATATGCTGTTGGGTTTTCTGCTCCATATAATGGAGAGAACTCATCTGGCCATAGTTTTGACCGTCAGCCAATCTGTTGCCAACGCAAGTAATGTTTCTCTAATTCTGAAGCTAATTGACAAGAGAATTGCTCCATATTGAACAGCCATTGTAAATATTAGGGTTTCAACATGATGCCTCTTTAGCATGTGAAACTCATCCACTTTGAATGTTTGTGTCAACTACTATATTGTCAATTACATTTGAAATACAGGGATGCCTTACACATCGGCATTGTATGCCATTGAAATGGCAAGCTATTGGCTCGAAGAAATATCATGCTTCTCGTTAATGATGAATTGAATTATGATTGTCATGATCATATTTATGTAATTTTAAAACATGCTTCTTAATTTCTTGCAACTTTAGTGCGCACACATTTGAATGCATATGTTACAATTATAGATTTGTGACGTACATGTCCTTACTCCTTTGTGGGAAATATTGAACAAGCTCGTTCTATAGGATTTTAGTATTGCCCAAACCGCGGAGCCCCATCATAGTTGTATTTCCAATAATAACCTTCTTTAGTTGCATTATTTCAATGTCCAAAACTGAAAGTACAAATGGATAGATTTGTAAGAGTGCTGTCAATCTTTTCTATTATCTGAACGGTTATAATTTGAATCTGAAAGATTACCACGTTTTCTCCAAGTAAATGTGCTAAATTTTTGCATTGTAGTAGTAAGGTGCGCAATAAAGGCTAGTTTTTTGTATGAATTCATGTTATTCTTCATAACAAAAAGCTTTGCATTTGACAGAATCTTTTTATTGTGCATATTGGTAATTGTCTTTGAATTAGTCACGTACATTTCGAGAACATTCATTTTTTTATTTTTATTTTTTTAAATTTGTGGAATATGACACATATCGATTTGATGGAGATATTGACCTAAAGATGCACTTTATATGCTTGAATCAAGTTGCTGTATTTATTATTTATCTAAAATCGTCTTTAAAGGCTTCTTATGTTTATCTTCTTTTGGGTTTTAATCTGTATGATGATATTTGTCAATGTTTATGGGAAATGAGACAAAAATATGTGATAACGGTAGTCATTTTGAAGATCAGTGAATGATTTTCGTAAGTATTTACTCCCTTTAGAATGTTAATTGATGTTTTTGTGCCTTTAACTTCGTGCATCTTGCCTTTTTGTGCGCATTAAAATGTTTAAGTTGGTCCCTTCCTCCTTATTCCTCTCATTTTGTATGATACTATTTAGAGACGTTCATATCTTGTAACGATATTATTATTCTTTTATTGATTATATATAAACGTGTACAAATCATGGGGAATCATGTAGCTTCTGCTAAGTGATAATCTCTCTGAGTTTTTACTAGGGAAGTTTGTTTCTAGCCATTGCAAATGGTTGAACCACTTTGTATTCGTACTGTAATTCTCTTATCAGTAATTACAAGACAAGAAAGGAAAAAACAGCATTTTAATCCACATTCTTGTGATGTTCCTATGCTTGGTCATTATGCAGTCGATTTTTTTCATGTTTGTCGGGATGTTTAACTCTATTATTGGATTCTATTTGCAGAAAGGTCCGAGAAGCTCCCATGTCTATCAAAGATCAAGAGGAGAAGTCACAGAGATGCACATTTGTTCAAGGTATGCTGTTGTCCACAATTCTTGATCATGGTAACATATGAGGTTCAACAGGGCTGCTAGGTTTGGAACCATAAGTTTGCCGGTACAACCTCTGTGACAGGTTTTTTATCGGTACTGTATAAGTTCGTGTGAAAGTGTAATAATAAAATGTAATCGATGTTCGTGTCTACAATCAGTAGTAGATAGAAATGGACGCGTTTATCCCATTTTGGTTTATGTTCGTGTTTTGACTAAAGATAATGAGTTCACTCTTCCATAATCTGTGTGTGTGATGATCTTGTTCTGGTCAGGGTTGCTAGTTGTGCATATTTGTACCCATACGAACAAATTACTGTTTGGTTCGCGTGTTTAGCTCAGCTTATAGCGGGATTTCATTTAGGTCACTGAACTAAATTTTCGGTACATTTGTGGCCATTTCATCCACTGCGGTTAGTTTGTCTAACCGAAAAGGTGATGTGGCAATCTAGTTGTTTGCCAATTAGGCTGATATACCAACTTTTCTCAGTAGGGTTAATGGAAATTATCAAATTTTAACAAAATTTCGAGTTCAATGACCAACTTGGAACCCTATAAAGTTTAAGTGATGAACAAGAAATTTTACTAAAGTTCAGTTACACTATTGGATGGGATGGTAATTGCTGCTTAATATATAGGCGTTGGCGTTGGATTTGGGCTGTGGAATATTGAGAGTATCCTTTGGCTCTCCATGCAGTGAGAGTAGTTGGGGTCTTGCTTGCATGCTTGAACGAGTTAGCTGACAATTTTAGGAAGTGTTTAGTACTTGTGGATCCCTAAAAATGTATAAATAAAAAATTACTTCTTGAACCTTGAGAGCGATAAAAGTTCCTCGCATCTGGGTTATCATATCGACTTGAATCTCCAAACCGAGATGTGGGGATTCCCTTCCTCTTTCAAATGGGAGGGCCAGGATCTACTGTCCCATAGATGAAAGAGAGGATATCTTTGAGGGGAGCATAGGATTCTAGTATATAAAATGAGATTGGTAAGATCAAGCATTGGATGGTGTGGTGTATAAACACGGGCCAAATATAGGCTTGGTCTTTAGACTACATTTGCTCCCGGTAGAGGGAATCTGTGCGCCGAAGATTGAGATAACAAAGAAAAAAAGGAACAAAAAAAAATAGTGAAATAGCGATATTGAATAAGATGTAGATGAATGAACATGCGAGCTCATAACCCTTGTGTGTGAAGCTTGAATGCATACGAGGTCAGTACAAGCTTTAGGCATAAAAAAGTTCGCAGGCAAGACAGGCGAACCATCCCCGTAAATTCCACGTTGGCAAAAACAATTGTTGAAGTACACGTGATTAAGTATTTAAAGCGTGACTTTGAAATCAATGTATACAGACATGTAAGCTAATAAATAAAATGTGAATACATAACAAAATTGTTTAAGCTCTTGTTTGAGCTCCATTTTTTCAATTTGTAATTAAAGGAATAGTAATTTATTGAAGAATGTGTGGTTAAAAAGAAATGAATTTTTTTTTACAATTACGCATAATATTATTTTTATTGAAGAATGTATGATTGATAAAAAGAGATGAAAAATTTCAATTTAATAGAGGCCAAACAGGAGCTAAAAATCCACCATTAAATAACTATCACCTGCTCTTTTTACTAAATGATCAGGCAAATTCAAATATCTCCATTCTAAATGGTCAGTTCCTCTTGCTCCTCGTTGAGGAATTTAGGAGAAAATCCTAAGTGAATGGCATTTATTGATTACAATTTTGGGGTCAACCAGCACCAAGTTCCCTATGTTGCCTTGTTCAATTAGAAATGAAGGAATTTGTTCTTACAAGCATCATTGTAAATAATTCATTGAATGGACCATGAAAGGCAATGTTGGCTAAGATAATAATTATTTACATGTCTGATATACTAAAAAAAGAAAATGACATAAGAAATTCAACTTAATTAAATATATAATAATATAAATCCACGTGTTGGTTGCAGACAAGAATTCTTTTAATTTAAGCAAGAATTGAATTTAACACGTTAATTTGTCGGCTGTTCCAGTCGTTCTTCGAAATACAACAATCATCTTCAACACCAAACCGAATAAATGCAGAATGCAGGGAATATTCTGGGCTGCTTTATGTAGAAAATACAGAATGTCTCAGAAGGAACCACTAATATTACCAACGGGATTTTGCCAAACAACCCGCTTAGTTGACAAAACGGACGACTGCACCCTCACATCTCGAGGTGCGTCCCACCTGAATTTAAAATCGAACCCACCTGTGTTGTGTGTGTGCAGTCATGCCCGCAGTATTAATGTCACAAAATTAATATTTTATAGTTATTACCTAAATTATGTACATTACAAACATGTTAATATATATTTTGGTTAATCTAAAAGCTTTTGTGATAAAACATTATTTTTAACTATTAAATTATACTGTTACATTTATAGCATAACTTTTCAAAAGTCTTCTTGAATGGTCAAATTAAAAGTGTAATAGAAGCATCCGTCGACAAAAGGAACGCCATAAGATGCTCATTTAATGGCTATTGAGAACGAATTAAATCGAATGTTCTATTTCTCAATTTTTTTTATTACTTCTTTATAAATCAAATATCTTCTAGATATTATTAAAAAATCACCTCCACCACAACCTCCCACCGTCACGCCCATCCCTAGTCCTCTATATCCCTCTACATCACCCTCTCCCCCCTGTAATAGTGAGCTTGAGAGCATATAAAACTTCCGGGTAGCAGCTTAGGAGTCTACCGAGTAGTAGCGTGTGGTCAAAGACACTAGGAGGAAGAGAGAGAATATTGAAGGCCTAAACTCAAGCAATACGAGCCAAATCCAACCTATCGACTCTTGAAGGACTTCGATTTCTACCCTACACCCTCAAGGTCAAGCTTTCCCAACAACACACACCCCATATTAACAACTTAAAGAAGACAATATCCTTCGGACCCAAATAAAAAATGAAAAAAATTGGTGCAGTTTAGGCAGAGAGTGGGGATGAACCCAAAGCCAACATTTCCAGGAGGAAGCATCTCAATTGAATGTAGATTTTAATCAACAAAGAACTCTATAACGACCTATATATATATAGAACAAGAGCATAATTCTTGGATAAGAGGGAATTCGGTTGTTCATTATTTCTAACATATGGAAATAAGACAGGGTATTGACCTCTCATTGGACACATATTTGTCCACAAGCAACTCTCTCGAAGTGGTTACAGATCGTGTCAGCTAAAATGGTGTGCGTAAAGATCCTTGCAATGTCCTTGAAGGTGTTGTAGCCTGCATCAATATAAAGAACAAGTCCTAGTCAAGAAAAAGTAAAATAAATGAACCTCAATACTGCATTTAGAGGAAAATTTAGTGATTTTTTATTCCAAAAAGTCCATTTGAAGGCATCTGACCAAACTGATGAAGCATACAAAAACATTGCACTATTGCTTGAAATAAACTAAATTGTAATAACCCAGCAGTGGTAAAGCAACATGAAAATGCATCCCTATTCTAAGCTTCCAACATGTACAATCCAAAATAATGTTTCAATCAAATCCACACAGCAAAAATCCAGTTACCAATTTCTGAAAAGCATTTGCCATTTGAGTTTTAGGACAAGAAGAGTGATGATAATCTACATCACTGCTTCTTATAGTTGCATGACATTTTCCGAAAATTTGAAAAGCCATGTGCTATTTATGACTAAAATTCAGACATCAAATGCCCAATTCCAAATTCACTAGCTTTTGTGTATTTTCTAACCATTGGTTGCACTTATAGTCTTATACCTTTTCTATGAGAGAATTGCTCACCTCTCTAAATGGGTTTGAAATACCAACATCAGTACTGATGTCTGATCTGCTACTGCAAGGATGGAGTTGCTGATGACCCTGTCCTAATCCAACCCTATCACTGATTCCAATAAATTCACCGTGTGACATTCCCCCAAAAGAATAATCCGCAGATGTAGAAGCTTGACTGTGAAGTGATTGCTCCCTCAAACTACTGAATCTTGGAGAAAAAACTTCCCTAGGGTGCAAGGGAAGTGCTGTATTTTCTAGTAAGCTTTGCTGAAGATATATATTTTGTGGCGCCATCCTCGTGGGAGTAACTGTATATCCAGGTACTAATTCCCTACCTCCAACTTGAGTACCAAAAAGACTATTTCCTGAAACTGTGGCCATCCCATCAGTTCTGTCAGATTGTCTACTTCTGTAATTAAGAAGTTGGTATATCTGACGCTGTATTCTACGCCTTTCAAATACTGTAGCTGCCCCAGTTCCCGTAGCTGTAGAAGCAGCTTGAAAATTCCCAACTGAAAGTCTCGAAGACACAGAATGCTCAGTTCCTTGAGGTAATGGGGTATCAGGTACATACAACTCATTGAGGTCAAAAGTTTCCCTCAAACTGGCAACAGGGGATGATCCTATGGACAAGTTGTTACTTGCTCCATGATCAACGCTAGGATTCAAACCTTGTGCACCAGATGAAGCAAGAGCAGTTGGCCTACATCCATCACAATACCAATTACCTTCAGGCACTTCATGTCCAAGACCAACACAATAAGCGTGCGCTGGTGAATCACAGAGATCGCAAAGTAACATAAGTGCATCATCTCCACCTTGTTGACACTCGATACATAGCACATTCTCATAGGGATCATGATATCCCCTGCGCTCTTCCTCGGATGGTTGATAAACCTGCACATAACGATAGTGGGATACAGGTAATTCAAATAATCATAAATAAGGACATCCTTTTGCTTCCAAAAACTAAAAATGGACTTGTTCAATAAAATACCTGATCACGTTCTGGAACTGTAATCACCTGAGTCCTCAAACCAAGCCCTGCATCTGCTCGTGCTGTCCTACTGATAGTGGAAAACCTTTGCTTGCAGAGGGGACAACTAGATTCCACCTTTGACCACTCCATGATGCAAGAAAAACAGAAATAATGACTGCAACAGTTCAATGTTCCCCTGACTGTTCTCTTCCCTTCTTCAGACAGACAAATCCCACAAACCTGCTTCCCTGCTTCAACTTCTACACCTTCTACCTTCCCTTTACCCTTCCTTACTGCACGTTTTCGTTGTGGAGGCAGAATGAGTTTCTCTTCTATAGTTTTCGAATTTGAACACCTCAAACGTCTACAAAATTCACTAGCTTCTCTAATCTGTTCTCTCTCTTCCTCAGAGATAGTGTATTCATGGTCAGATGATCCCGAACTCACAAAATCGGAATCAGAATTTGAAGTTGACTTCCCCCTCCTTGACCTTCCCCATTCAGTGATCTT